CTTCAAACTCATGATCCTTCTGCTACCTCCCAAGTACACATCTGGCTTAAAGATTTTTGCCTTTTGTTTTTTTAAATAAATGGGCAAAGGATCTAAATAGACATTTCTTCAAAGATATACAAGTATAAAAAGTCCATGAAAAGATGTTTAACATCATTAGCCATTAGAGAAATGCAAATCAAAACCACATGCAGATACTTCATACCTACTGGGATGGCTATAATCTAAAGACAGACAATAAAAAATGTTGGAGAGGATGCAGAGAAATTATAACCGTCAAACAAAGCTGGTAGGAATGTAAATGGTGAGCCTGCTCTGCAAAATAGTTTGTCTGATTTTCAAAGAGGTAAACAAACACGGGAGTTAAAAGATGACCTAGCAGTTTTTTTTTTTTTTTTTGGTCTTTTTTAGACAGGGTCTCCCTACAGCCCCGGCTGTCCTGGAATTCACTATTTAGATCAGGCTGGCCTTGAACTCAGAGATCCACCTGCCTCTGCCTCCCAAATACTAGGATTAAAGGCTTGCACCACCACACCTGGCGACCTAGCAGTTTTTAAAAAAAATTTTTATTTATTATTATTATTATTTATTTATTTTTGTCTTTTTGAAGCAGGGTCTTCTGTAGCCCCAGCTGTCCTGGAACTCACTATGTAGACCAGGCTGGCCTTGAACTCACAGAGATCTGCCTGCCTCTGCCTTCCAAGTGCTGGGACTACAGGCGTGCGCCACCATGCCCGGCTCTATTTATTATTTTTATGTGTATGAATGTTATGCCTGCATGTGGGTAAATGCACTCGTGTCATGCAATGCCCACGGAGGACAGAAGAGGCTGTCAGATCCCCTGGAACTGGAGTTATGGACAGGTGTTAGGTGCCATGTGGGTGCTGGGATTCAAAACTGGGTCTTCAGCAAGAACAACCAGTGTTCTTAACTGCTGAGCCACCTCTCCAGCTCCCTGACCTAGCAGCTTTATTCCTAAGCCATGTACCTTCGAAAAGTGAAAACAAATGCTCAAACAAAACTTACACATGCATGTTCACAGCAGCATTACTTCTAAGAGTCAAAAAGTGAAAATACCTGTGTAGCATGTATGACACCTTGGGTTCAGTGATCCCTAGCAACACTATACACACATGAGTTTAAGTACCACAAGTATCAAAAATGAATGGATAAGCAAAATGTGATATATTTATACAAGATATTATTCAACAAAAGAAATGAATAGAGCACTCAAACGTGCTACAACATGGATGAATTCTAAGTGGAAAAAAAAGGGCAGACATAACAGTTTGTAACGTGATTCCAATTATATGAATAGACGAATCACATAGAAAGTAGATTTGTAGACGCTAGGGCTAGGAGGAAGAGAAACAGTCAAGTGATTGCTAATAGATGCAAGGTAACTTTTTAGGGTGATAAAAATATTCTAGAATTAGACAATGGTAGTGGTTACACAACTCTAACTATCCTAAGAATATTGAAATATATACCCTCGGGGTAAATTTCATGGGCTATAAATTATATCTCATTAAAGCTAAAAAGAAATAAAACCAAGACCAACTCTTGGGGATTAATCACCATACAGCCTGTTTTAAGTGCCCTAGAAAGTGGGAAAACATTCCTTTTCTTTTTCTAAGTGGTCTAATATGGAAATTAAACACTGATAGAGAAAGATTTGGTCTCTACCCACAAGGAGTTCCCAGCCCTGAGAAAAAGCAATGCATATGAAACAATGATAGTACAATGGAGTACACGAAATTACAGAGGGGCTTAAACACCAGAGCAACAACAAAATTAAAGTACACTATCAGGAGAAAAATACATTAAAAGTTGCTGGAAGAAAACATTGGAAATAAAATATATAGTTATAAATATATATATTCACATTCATATTATATATATTCACATACATTTGATCTCACAGAGATCTACCTGTCTCTGCCTCCAGAGTGCTAGATTAAAGATATGTGCCACCACATCTGGTTTTTTCAGAGAATATCTTTTGGCCCTGAAGTATCACAAGAATGTTTTAAATTAAAAAAAAAAAATTTATTATTTTTATTTTATGTGTATGAGTGTATTGCCTGCATGTATGTGAGTGCATCTATGTCGCGCAATACCTCGGAGGTCAGAAGAGGGCTTTGGATTTCCCTGGAACTATAGCCAAGGACGGTTTGTAGCCGCCATGTGGGTGCTGGGAATCGAACCCAGGTCCTCTGCAAGAGTAGTCGGTGCTCTTAACCGCTGAGCTATCCCTCCAGCCCCAAGAATGTTTTAAAAATTTTAAATTACATCTATCTATCTATCTATCTATCTATCTATCTATCAATCAATCAATCATCTTTTATTTATTTGTGTGTCTGAGGAGGGCATGAATGCCATGGCACATGTGTGGAGGTCAGACAACTTGTTGGGGCTGGTTCTCTCCTTCTTCCATGTGGGTCCTGGGGATTGAACTAGATTGTTAGGCTTGGTGGCAAGTGCTTTTACTCACTGAGCCATCTTGCCAGCCTGAAGACTTTTTTAAAAAGATATTTTATTTATTAAAAAAAATTTCATTTGTATGAATGTATTGCCTGCATGTGTATAAATGTATCTGTTGTGCAATGCCCATGGAGGTCAGAAGAGGGCGTTGGATCCCTGAGAACTGGAGTTATGGATGATTGTTAGCCACCAGGTGGATGCTGGGAACCAAGCCCAGCTCTTCTACAAGAGCATCCAGTGCTCTTAACTGCTGAACCATCTCTCCAGCCCCCAGTCTGAAGATTTTTTTTTTTGGTCTTTTTGAGACAGGGTTTCTCTGTAGCCCCAGTTGTCCTGGAACTCATTTTATAGACCAGGCTGGCCTTGAACTCACAGAGATCCGCCTGCCTCTGCCTCCCGAGTGCTGGGATTAAAGGCGTGCACCACCATGCCTGAAGATTTTTTAAAGATAGTAAAAAAGCAGGGCTGGGGATATTGTTTTGTGGGTAAAGTACTTGCTAAGTAAGCATGAGGAACTACCTACAGAAAAGCTGGACATGGGGGTACACATCTGTAACACCAGCACTGAGGGATCAGAGACAGGGGCTGGCCAGCCTAGCAGAAGTGGTAAGCTCCAGGTTACATGAGAGACTCTGATAGACAATACACATAATGCTGACCTCTGGCCTCCACACATGCATTTACCAAACACAACTACAGAAAAAAGATACAGCCTGGTGTGGTAGTACACTCCTTTAATCACGGCACTTGGGAGGCAGAGGGAGGTAGATCTATGTGAGTTAGAGGCCATCCTGGTCTACACAGTGAGTTCTAGGCCAGCCAGGGGTGCACAGTGAGATCCCATCGCCAAAAAAGAAAAAAAAAAAAAAAGATACAAAAAAAGCACAACATAGAAAAAGATCTGTAAGTTAGGGCTTTACTAAAGTTTGTGTGCACAAAAAGATGTCATAAAGTAACAAAAGAGAACTCTGAGGCTTGGAACTGAAAATCAGTACCTAGAATATACATTACTCCTAAAAAATCAATAAGGAAAAGACTAATAAACCAAAGAACAAGGAAGGGTTGGAAAGATGGCTCAGTGGTGAAGAGCACTGGCTGTTCTTGCAGAGGACCTGGGTTTGATTCCCAACATATACATGGCAGCTAACAGCTATCCATAACTAATTCCAGGGGAATCTGACACCTTCTCCTGACCTCTGTGGGCATTGCACAACATGGGTGCACTTACACATATGCAAGCAATACACATTAAAATTAAAAAAAAAAAGAACAGGCAAAAGATGTATGACAATTCACAGAGAAAGAAACTTAAATGTCCAATAAACACAAGAACAGTGGTCAATTTCATTAAGTTAAAGAAAAACACTAAAACAAGGTAACGTTTAATATCTCTCCCAACTAAAAACTGATAATACAGGGCTGGAGATGGCTCAGTGGTTAAGAGCAGTAGTTGCTCTTGCAGAGGACCCGAGTTCAGCCCTTAGCACCCATAGGATGGATAACAACTGTCCAAAACTCCAGTTCTAGAGGGTCTGACACCCTCCCCTAGCCTCCACAGCCATTGTACACATGGGTGCACTTACATGCAGGCAAAACACTAATACACATTAAAAAGAAACCTGATAATACCAAATACTGGTAAGAATATGAAGAACAATTGGCAAAACCTAATAAAACAACAAAGGACTCATGGAAGACATTAGATGGGATGTGCAAGACATGGACAATGACTGCAAGTCACAACAAAGGAAGGGCAAGAGCCTGAAGTGTGACCCTTGCTGGAAACCTGTTTCCAAGATGCAGAAGGAGAAAGAAGTGGCAACAAAAATAAGAGTTTTTGCTGTCATATATTATGCTGCAGATAAGGCTTCTTAAAGGGAGCTATGATAACATCATCTGAATTTTAAAAGTTCAAGACACAAAGTAAAATAATTTCTACCCAAACTATATTCTAGTGAGTGGATCACATGTCTTGTGCTCAAAAGGTCAGATATGAGGCAGAATGACTAGTGTTCCAGAAAATATCACCTTTTCTACCAAACTTCAAAACATGCACTTAATCTACCTAGTAAGTAAGGCCCTACTTTTGAAAAGGTCAAACCTAGCTGCCTATTCTTTTCATTTAAAGGGAATGTCAAAGAAGTCCAGCTGAGATCTCCAAAGGCAAAATTACGGTAATAGGAACATCAAATAAATGACAGAGATCACAATATTTGGCTAAATAAATATCCACAGTATACTATGAGTACATTATATATAAACTATATTGCACAAGTAAATGTAGGAGAAAGGGCAGCTTACTTTTCTGACAGTAGAATTCCAATAAATAAATGTAGATGGAATCTAAGAATCTAAACTAAATACAGAACTCAGGAAGTAAAAGCAGGAGGATCAGGAATTCAAGGCCATCTTAGAGGCACAAAAGAAGTCAACATACCAGATAACTAATGCTTTGTGCACTGGTCATTTCTTTGCATATATGAATATGGCAATAGAGGTGACAAGAAGACACCTACCTCTACAATGTTGGCAATGTAACGGTTGTCACCTTCAACTCTGACAGAGAAGTCATAATAACCACTGGAAAATTTAAGCTCCTTGAAGTTTAGTTCAAAAACATCCCTGTTAGGAATGACGGCAAGATTAGCAGGAACACAAAGAAGTCAGGAATAAACCCAACTGGCTACAAAATATCTCTTTGACATGGTTCAGGGTCATACCAAATGCCTTCCAGCCCCACCTTGCAGTCTCCAGCTCCCCGCCAAATTAGTGTGGAAAACCTAGAAACCATGCAAATGGTTATCTCTTCTCCTAAGTATCCAAAATTTCCTTTTCCTCCCTTTCAGGTCCCAAGAGTCCGCCTCACTGTGGTACCTTTCCATATTTTAATGCAAAACAGTAAATCTGATTCAAATTACTTTTTCTTGTTTATTTTCTTGGTGCTGGGGATGGAATCCAGGGCCTAGAGTATGCTATACAAGTGCTCTTCCACAGAGCCTCAGCCCTCACTTATGCTTAACAACAAAACCAAACAAGGAAACAGTCTCAAATGTTCAAAGATGTTGGTATAGGGAAGTACAGGTGCGTATTTTTGGTATTCTGTTTTTTAATTTATCAGAATATGTTATACTTTAACTTAAAAAAATAAGTTTTTTTTTTTTTTTTTTTTTTTTTGGTCTTTTTGAGATAGGGTCTCCCTGTAGTCCCAGCTGACCTGAACTCACTATGTAGACCAGGCTGGCCTTGAACTCACAAAGATCCACCTGCCTCTGCCTCCCAAGTGCTGGGGTGTGCCACCACGCCCGGCAGTAATTTTTATTTTAAATGATAAAATGCAGAGAATTCCCACGTAACTAACAGAAAAATTCCAATGGTTCTTACTACTCCACTAGTCATCCCTAAAAGTGACTGTGCTTTGTCATTTACTATATGGTTCATGAATCTTTCTTTTTTATTTATTTATTTTTTGGTCTTTTTGAGACATTGAAGACACAGAGATTTGCCTGCTCCTGCCTCCCAAGTGCTGGAATTAAAGGCATGCACCACCATGCCTGGCAATTTTTTAAAAATTTTTTATTTTTATTTTATGTGTGTGAGTGTATTGCCTGCATGTGTGTAAGTGCACCTGTGTTGTGCAATGCCCATGGAGGTCAGAAGAGGGTGTCAGATCCCCTGGGACTGGAGTTACAGAGTTGCTAGCCTCCATGTGGGTACTGGGAACCAAATCAGGGTCCTCTTCAAGAGCAACCAGTGCTCTTAACTGCTAAGCCGATGCATCTCTCTACCAAACCTTTACACCATTCAAAGAAATACATTTTCTTTTTCTTTTTTGGTCTTTTTGAGACAGGGTCTCCCTGTAGCCCCAGCTGTCCTGGATTCACTATGGAGACCAAGCTGGCCTCGAATACACAGATAATCCACCTGCCTCTGCTGGGATTAAAGGCACGTACCACCATGCCCGGCTAGAAATACATTTCTCTCTAATATTCTAAATCCTAGATCTCAATCTCAGTAGTTTATTCATTTTACACTTAAAGTTTTATACAAAAACTGAGTCTTAATTTTTAAAAAATTTTATTTTATGTGTATGAATGTTTTGCCTTCATTTATGTGAATGCACTAGTATTGTGCAATGCTGAGAAGGCCAGAAGAGGATGTTGAATCCCCTGGAACTAGAGTCACAGACAATTGTTAGCCACCATGTGGGTGCTGGGAACCAACCCCAGGTCCTCTGCAAGAGCAATTTGTGCTCTTAACAGCTGAACCATCTCTTCAGTCCTGAGTCTTAATTTTTGAATTTTTTTCATAGCAATTATTGTATACAAATATTTAATCCTTATGAGATATTGTTTATGATGCAGTTACAAATGAAAAGACTGACAAAAAGAACTGCAAAATGTCAGTAGTAAAGGCTGGGTGTGGAGGTGCATACCTTTACTCCCAGCATTTAGGAAGCAGAGAGAGGCAGATCTTTGTGAGCTCAAGTGCAGCCTGGTCTGCACAGTGAGACCCTATATCATAAAACAAATCCAGGGCTGGAAAGATGGCTCAGCAGTTAAGAGCACTGGCTGCTCTCACAGAGGACCTGGGTTTGGTTCCCAGCACCCAAATGGCAATTAACAACCACCTGTAACTCCAGGTCCAGGGAATCCAATGTCCTCTTCTGGCCTCTGTGGACACTGCATATATGTGGTACATTAACATACATGAAAGCAAAACACATGTACCCATAAAATAAATATTTTTTAAAAAGTGATTTAAAGTGTTAGCAGTAGTTATCTCTAGAGAATAGAATTCTAGATGATTTATGCTTTGTTTTTATTATTTTTCTAAAATGTTATATTCATATATCAGACAAAAATAATAAAAATTAAATTTTAAAGTAGGAACATAGGATAAGATAGAATCAACTAGAAAGGTAAGAAAGGAAATAGGGCAAAATATAATTTTAGATATCTCTTCCAAAACACATAGCTTGGTGTTCTGCACAAGTCCTTATGCTCCAGACCTACCCTATAGGAATGAAAGGCGTCCTGTGGAGAACAGTAGCTCTGGAAGCCACAGACTTGGCATGTTCCAGTTGAACAACAGCTTGAATTAGAGGCTGAGACAAAACATTGGTGACCTGCAACTAGAAAAAAAACAAAAACCAAAACCAGTATGTGAACAGCAAGGAAGATTCAGACAGTACATTTGGTCTCTGGGGACTCAATAAGTATAGCTATAGATGCATATGACCACACCCAGTTCTTAATGTGGGTGCTGGGGATCTGAACTCAGGTCCTCCTGCTTGCATAGCAAGCATTCTTTTTTGAGCCATCTTTCTAGCCACAATAACTATTACTTTTGCAAATCTACTATATGTCAAACACTAGGCTAGACTTTCATAGATAACTTCCTAACAATTGTAAAAGGCAGACAGCATAATCCCTAACTTACAGATGAAGAAAATGAAGGCAAGGACTGCCAAAAGCCACATGGTCGGTTAAGGCGTAGGGCCAGAATTCGACATCCTACTCTTATACAGCTTTAGAGTCAGTTCTTTTCCCACTGTGTTCTCCTTGACTCACAGAGAATTATATTGAGGTTATTTCTCAGCCTACTCTTTGTTGGGAGAACATGAGTTGTACTGAGGGAGACAGGCAATTTTAAAATACAAGGCACTTTTTCAGGAGGGTATCAGCAAGGCCCACCAACACTGAACTTAGGGGACAGACAGAAGTGCCTGTATAGAGCCCCAACATTTTGATAAATAAAATACTCATTTCTTAGATTTGAGTTTGTCAGTGGTTTACAAACAACAGCAACAAAATGTTTCATTTGAGATGAAACTTCAACATATGCTCAAGATTTGTTCCTTTGCTCTGTGCAGAGACTTGACATAGAAGTCCACGCTGAGTGGGGGGTTGGGGGGGAACATGAGTAAAGAGGCTTCTCAATCAGTACCAGGGAGGAACAGGCCAAGACTTATTTTAACAATTAACTATAAGTACCAGAATTACTTGGGAATCAAAAGGTTATCTTTTTGTTTTATTTTTTGAGAGTGACTATGTAGCCCTGCTGGCCTCAAATTCACAGAGATCTACCTGCTTCTGCACCCTGAGTGCTGGGATCAAAGATGTGTGCCACCATGCCTAACCTAAAGGAAAGTTCTGGCACCAGGAAACAGATTTTTATTACTACATTCTTTCGTGTGTCATGTCATGGATTGATCCCAGTGCTTAGCACATATCAGACAAATACTCTTCCATGGAGTTACATGCTTAGTAGAAATGTATTTTAGCTTATGTTCTTGTGGTACTGGGGATTTGGTCCTGCGCTAGGCAAGTGTTCTACCAGTGACCTATCATCTTTAGCCCCACAAATGCATTTTCGGCAAGACCTCTCTGTATCTCGAGTTACAGACATAGAATGCAACTTTCTTGTTACTGACTCACTGAAAGCCTATGCTGTTGACAATCTTCAAGGAAAAAAAAATTTTTTCCCCTTTTTTTAAAAAGAGCTTCAAGGGGCTGGAGAGATGGCTCAGCAGTTAAGAGCACTAGCTGCTCTTCCAGGGGACCTGGGTTCAGTTCCCAGCACCTGCATGGTCCTCTTCTGGCCTCTGCAGGCATTCCATGCTCAGGCACACTCACACACATTAAAAAAAAAAAAAAAGTTTTAGCTGGGTGTAGTGGTGTATGGCTTTAATCCCAGCACTCGGGAGGCAGAGGCAGGCGGATTTCTGTGAGTTCAAGGCCAGCCTGGTCTACATAGTGAGTTCCAGGTCAGCTGGGGCTACAGGGAGACCCTGTTTCAAAAAGATTAAAAAAAAAAAATAAAAAAAAATTAAGTTTTAAAAAAAGCTTCAAAAACATTTGTGTCTTGCTGTCCAGAGGTCATGTCTCCATGTCCAGAATGAACCTTGCTAGAGCTTATTTATTGGTATATCCTCATGAAGGCTATCTGGCTCTATACCACATCCTACAAACTTCTGAAAGTCTTGTGCTGGAATGGCATCAGAATGGCACATCTTGGGCAGGGAAGTCCTACCCGAAGGATAGCCTGTTCATGAGTGTCGGCAGCAGAACCCTCAGGCACAACTACCACTGGTACATGGTAGCGATTCTGGGACAATGCAGCAGCAGCAGATGCCACACTGAAGGCTTCTGAGAGGGATTCAAAGTTCTTCTTGCTAAAGATCGTGTTCATCAACTGGATGACCTGATCCTGAAAGCAAAAGGAAAGATAACTCAGCTCTTCCTCTGCAGAAGTGGGAACCTCCCTTCCTTTCCACAGGCTTCAGGTCATTCCTTGTGTGTTAGCACTTTTAACATTAATCCAAATGGGGGATATGGAGGGAACAAATATGTTGCATTTAAACTTAAAACTTGAGTTTGATATTTTTTTTGTTTTTTTAAAAACTATTTTCTATTTTAAACCGAAATTCGTGTATCTATTTGTTAATCCTTTAAACAACGCTTTCTATACATATGCAAGGTACTTCCAGATAAGTGCCGAGTTGAGCAGGTAGAGTATAAAATTCTTCCAACAGCAACCTTTGTTACTGGTGCTTTACAGGCACCACCTCAGATCAGGACAATATCACCTCCAAAGACTGAAGACACTAAAGCATTTCAAGTACCTGCAACAAGTTTGTAACACAGAAAGAAATGAAGGGAGAAGGCAAGGAGGAGGGAGGGAAGAAGGGAGGACGAAGAAAGGAGGGGAGGAGGGAGGATCAAAAGAGGAGGAGGAAGAGTCAAAGGTAGGTTTGTTTGTTCCCAAAGCCCTGCCACACACACAAAAAACCCTGCTCTTTCCTAATCCTACAAGCCTTTCAGTTAAACTACCTTCCCTACTAACCCATCTCCAATAGTAAACTGGGGCTAAATATGCATTTACAAGAACACATTTAATGGCCAGTAGAAAGAAACGAAAATAACTTTTCATTAAGAACTAGTAGGCTACTTAGAGAGAACTAAATGCAATTTTAAAACAAGTGGAACCAGCCAGGCATGGTGGTGCACGCCTTTAATCCCAGCACTCGGGAGGCAGAGGCAGTGGATCTCTGTGAGTTCAAGGCCAGCCTGGTCTACATAGTGAGTTCCAGGACAGCTGGGGCTACAGGGAGACCCTGTCTCAAAAAAAAAAAAACAAAAAAACAAACAAACAAGTGGAACCAAAAAGGCATTATTAAAATTCTGGAGGTTGTTTGCTTAGGAGGCTACATTTTCTATTTCAATCAGTTTTGTTTTTTAAAATCTACCATCTAACAAAAGAGCTCCCATGTTCCTGACACTGTTATTCAGTTGACATGAAATAATTTTCTGTAATTGTACCAATTACATTTTTCCATTACTAGGCTGTTGACATGTTAAAATGGGTGACTGTTCACCAGAATTGTGTCAAAAGCAGTGACAGTAAAATTATTCCAGACAAATACCTGGTTAGTAACAGCTTGGGAATAAAGCAAAAAGAGTTTAAGTTGTATTATTAGTGTGTCACCAAGGCCATCTATCTCATGATATATAGAAGAGCCCCAAATAATTTATACCTCAAGACCCCGCATTCCTCAAAGTTTATCCTTATAGAAATAAAAAGGGAGTGGGTTATTGCTAGCGCTCCTGCACTTAGGATGAAGGAGCAGACACTAAGAAAGCAAATACATGAACAAATTGTTAGATCCTATCCTCTGAGGAATATATAAAATTAATTCAAGTTCTCCAAGATAGGCATTATTTACTGTCTACTTAGAGAAATCTGCATAACACATAAAAAATAAAAATCTTAGCTTCAAATGCAAACCTTTCCTCTAAAAATGTAAATAACAGCGGCTTGCATTTTCAGTCCTTTAGATTAAGGGCTGGCAACCTTCTCACACATGGGGTAGAGAAGGTTCTACTCAAAAAGACTCCCACACACATTCTAAGCAAGATCTGCAAATTCATTCAAGTTAAGCTCTTCCTGAAAAAAGAATATCAACTCTTGGTGGTATCTGTAGGCATACATGCTTCTCAGTGAACTGTGTCAATCAGCTGAATTAGTTAAATTTAGCCGTTGCTGAGGATGAAGGGGAAAGAAGAGAACAAGCAATTTTGAAGTCCAGGGCACTTTCTGGAGAAAGGATCTGCAGGGGCCACCCAAGCAGAAAGCCTTCAGGAGATAAGCAACAAAGGCTGCCAGGAAAAAAAGGATCAAACCAGAGTGATACATTTGCCCTTGCCTCTACTTTATAACCTGCATGTGCCTTATGTAAACAGAGGTGACAAATTGTCTACAGGTCTGCCACACTGATAATAAGTTTCTTAATAGAGGCATTCTATCTTTCTATTACTCGTTCTTAAAGCCTAACCTAAATCATGAATGACGACACCCCAAGATGTGATCTGAATATCCCTCTCTGAAAACAACTACTCTTGGCAGAAACACTTAGCAATGCCTTTGAGTTTCACATTTGAGAGTCACTAGACAGGCACCTCCTTAATGGATGGTTCCGTCCCAACATGGTCCATGAGCTTGTAGGTAGCAGCAACAAACAGTGCTGTCGTTTCTAGTCCTTCTTCAAACTGGAGATATACTCCTCCTAGTTCATCCAGACGAGCAACAAGGTCCTGCGACAATAAAATGGAAGCATGTTGGAAGACAAGTGATCACAGAAGTGAGATACATAAAGCACTATCACCCCTGTACAGACAGTTCTGAGAATTCTCACTAAATCTGGAGACCACCATAGCTACTTGGTACTTTTAAAATAAAAAAGTACTTAGGTAGACTGACAGAGAGCAGTATCTTTGGCAGCTCTGGGAAGAGTATCCTGCATTCCTGGCCAAGCCCAAGAGCCAGGGCACTGACCAGTTTAGGCAGATGGACAGTGATCTAGACTGTGTGTCCCTAGGAAGCATAAGGACACAGATGGAGCTATGGTCACCTATTTGGATACCACCTACCAAGCACAGCGCTTCCCTTTCTATGTGAAAGCTCTAAAAGATGATAAGAGACCACTGCTCTCCTGGGCAGCACAACAAGGCAGCTGCTCTTCTGTGAAGCACACAGCAAAGATACTGCCAGGACTGCCTGTCATCGCTGGCTACAAAGCTCCCAAGGGTAGCCCAAGGAGTAGAAAATCCTGGGTAAAGAACAGATCAATAGCAAAAGCTGCAGTGAGCTAGGCATGGTGGAACATGCTTGAAATCCCAGCACTCAGGAAGAGGCAGGAAGATCGTGACTTCAAGGCTAACAAGGAGTATATGATGAAATTGTCTCAAAACAAACAAAAAACAAAACAAAACAAAAAAACTCCACTCACAGTGGCCACCTACCCAGCACCTAATTAATCTACTAGGGCTCTCTGAACCTCACTTGTTCCTGCAACCACCATACAGGAAAATTGAGGCTCAGGACAGGCACCTTGCCTAAGATTACAAAGCAGTAAGTGGGAGAAAGAAGTGTTTGAATTTTAGATTTGAAGTTCCCCAAACCTGCGGACTAGTAGATTATCTCTACAAAAGGTTGGGAACACAACTGGTGGCCTAATTTGCGGTATAACTATATTAGCCTAAAAAATATTCCTTAAGACACACTGCTTGACTACAAAGAACATAAGCATGCCATGGATATGAGAAGATATGTAAGTGGACAGAACAAATCAGGTATGTCTACATGCAAGATCATTCTAAAGGGTGTCAAAGACAGGAGCCGAGACCCATTTGGAGAAACAGATTTATACCTCAATCTCCTCCACGATGTTCCTCAGGTCAGCCTGCTGGGATAGGTGGGATGCTGTCTGTAGAGCCTGGACTGTTCTAGAAGGTGAAGAGTAGAACACTGGGACTAAGGTTTAGTGAAATGCATAAGGGATATGCCCTTAGGGAAACCAGAATATAACTCAAGTGTACTTGACATCTTCTATTTTGTACAAGATATATAAGGCTAAAACTGGCTGCTTGCTAATCTTCTATTTTTCTTACTCAAGGCCAAAGAAATATTGCAAAATCAACATTTGTAAATTGTTGGGGAGAATTTGGAGCACCTTTTCTGAAACTAGACTAAAACACACGGAGAGGAAAGACTTGGTAAACACGTCCTGAATGGTTCCCACTTCTGCTACAACCACCGTACTGGGAGACCTATAAGACAGGCACATGGCAGCTAACAACTGTCTGTGACTCCAGTTCCAGGGGATCCGATAGTCTCTTCTGTTCTCTGCGGGCATTGCACAACATGGGCGCACTTAACCTACATGCAAGCAATACACATATATACATAAAATAAAAATAAATTTTTTTTTAAAAGATAGACATTCCTCAGGCACTCAGTGAGAGGAAAGGCAGATTTAGTTTAAAACCAGTATTACTTTCTTCTTTACCATTTATTTAGTATTCTCTGTACAAAATTTTCTTTATGAATTCATATGGAAATGTACTTCATTCTACGAAGAGTGAAATTATACTGCCTAAATGTACCATTACTTATTCAATCTTTTTTTGGAAACAGGTCTTATGTAGCTCAGGCTGGCCTTATACTCATTGAAGATGATCTTGAGCTCTTGATCCTCCTGCTACTACTTCTCAAGTGCTGGGATTACAGGTGTATACCACCATACCCAGTTTATATAGTGCTGGGGTTTGAACCCAGGATCTCATGTTATGAAAGCACTTTACCCACTGGGTTACATTCCTCACTATACCAACAAAGCTATATCCCAAGCCCCTAGGTCTCTTACTTGATAAACATTTTCAATTAGATCTCACATTGCTATTCCTGACAATCCTTATTCATATATACATACGTGTGTGTGTGTGTGTGTGTGTGTGTGTGTGTGTATAATTTAAATTTTTTATTGGGGTGAATTCATATAACAAAATGATCATTATAAAGTGAATTCAGGGCCAGGGAGATAGCTTGGTCAGTAAAGTGCATGGTGTATAAGCACAAGGACCTGAGTGTGATCTCTAGAACCCATGTAAAGAGGTGGGGGATAGTAATATGAGCTTAGAGTCCCAGTGTGGGAGGAGTTGATAAGAGGTAGATCCCTGAGATTCACTGGCCAGCCAGTCTAGGTTCCTAGGTAAGACCTGGCCAGTGATAGACCCCCTCTTAAAAAATAAGGTGGTTGCCATCTGAGGAACCAGACTGACCTCTGACTTCCATAAGCCCTCACATACATGCAAACACACACACACACACACACACACACACACACACACACACACACGCACACACAGTGAATTAATGGCACTTACTATAGCCACAATATAGATCCAAAACATTTCCATCAGTTCAGAATAAAGCCTTAGAGCCATTAAGCAGTGCCTCTCCAAGGTGCCCCACCTCCCTCTAACTTCTGGCAATCTGCTTCTATAAATTTATCTGTTCTGGATAGTCTCATAAATAGTCACACAATAGGTGATTTTTTTTTGGAGGGTGCTGGAATCAATCTTGGGCCCTTGTGTATACCAGGCAAGCATTCTACCACTGAAATACACCTCCAGTCTGGCTTTTGTGACTTAGTATGTTTTTGAGGTTCATCCATGTTGTAGCATGTATCATTCTTTTTTGTTTTATTCATATATATGTGTGTGTGTGTATATATTTCTGTATGTGTGTGAGTGTGTATGTATTGCAGCTATTGTGAAAGGGAGTGTTTCCATGTACTCTTTCGCTTAAAGGCGTGAGCCACCACGCCCGGCTTTATTCATATATTTTTACTTAAGAGTATATTTCTATGAAATAAGCCTTTTAAGATGACAGGTGTACATACATAGATTTTTGTATTAGATTCTTTTCTGTTAATGCAGATAGTAGAAAGTCTAAATGTTTCTCTGGGTGAAATGAGGGAAGCTGGGGCCCCCTGGTGGTCAGATGGTCTGCTGCTTCAGCACTGAACTGTTCTTAATTCCCAAGAAAGAGATGCCAAAGAGATGCCCGTGTAAACCGCCACTTATCGAGTCAATGTGTCAGGGAACGGGGAGCAAGAATCTGTCACTTATGAGATCATAACAATTTAGATTCCCTCCATGGAAAGCTAATTCCATTAAGATGACAAGTTGGAAAACAGGAGTCACAATTCATGGAGGAAGAAACCCCATGAGTGTTCAACGACTCCTATGGGATGCTTGTTGTTATAATGCACTTGAGAAAATGAAACCTGAATTTCCAAACAAGATAAAAATCTCCCATCTGCCCATAACAAATGCTGAGCTCAAAAGAGGCTGTTAAGATGGGGGGGGGGGGGGAGAAAAAAGAAAGAAAAAAGGGAGAACTTTTTAACTAAGATACCATTTTTCTCGTTGGAGCAACTGAGTGCCATGCTGGTAATGACCTCAGAAGTCTTATAATGAGATCAACCTCCTTTAGAAAGGTTCTGTCACTGGCTTTGACTACGGATCCCCAGATAGCAAGTTCTTCTTTTGGAATATCGCACTCCCCTGCAAAGCAACCAGATCCTGCCTTGATAATACACAACAGATGATTCAGAGAAATTACTTTATGAAAGTAATCTTTTCAGGTAGTTCATTCAAATCTACAAATATTTTTCTCTTTTTAAGACATGTTTATGAGCTTATATTTCCTAAAATAACTCCACTTAAATAGAGATGGCCCATTTCAAAAAGTCCTAATTTACATCAGATTTTACTAATTTGACCAAATTAGTTGTATTAAAATAAAAGGCATCCTGTCAATCTGATCTTTACAATAACACTTTCTAGGTTTGAGAACATTTGAGGTTGGGAGGGGTGTTAGAGCAGCTTAAACAGCTCACTTGTGGTCACAGACTATCTGAGCAGAAGAATTCAGATTTGAACAATTCTACCTGATTCCGGGCATGTGGCCTTTCTTGTAACTACACAAAAGTACAGTTTCAATCTTTATTAACTCTTTATTGCACATATCCAATATATTAGACTCCATGAGCCATGCAAGCAAAGCAGATTAGGATCTAATATATGCAACTGCAGTCCAACCACAGAAGCATCTCCTTCTCCAAGAAAGAAACACTGAAGAGAGGGCACTTTGCCTCCTGAACTCCCACCAACTACAGGCATTGTACTACGCTTTCCATTACCACCACACTTGCTCCATGATGTAAAGATTATTGGTCTCATTTTACAGATGAGGCTCAAAAAAGTTACTAACCTGCTCAAAGCCACACAGAAAGGAAGGACACAGACAGCATTCAAAGCCAAGTTTGTCTGATTCCAAAGCAGTTCTTCTTATTGTTGTTTTTGAGGAAGAAGACTTACCTTTTAAGTCTTTTTTGTAGAAGGTAGTATGACATTGATGTCACGACACAATATGGTGCCAACTGGGGACAATTCCCCCAAAGACCCCCAACGATCAAGCCTTGGGGAAAGCGTGCATAAAACCATCAGCCTGGAAAACATTTTCAGCCCCAACCTCACTGACCCTATATGTTAGTAGAATTTGAAAATGACAAAAGGAGAATGCTAACTTACTGCGAACCCTTCCCTTAATGAAGCATCAAATTTAGTGACAACCTGGGAAATAATCTGTTTTTTGTTTTTTGTGGAGGGGTATGTGTACACATGTGGAGGTCCAGGGACAATTTGCATGAGCAATTTTTCTTCTTCCAACATGTGGGTCCCTGGGATTGAACTCAGGTTCTCGGCTTATGGGCAGGCATATTTACCTGCTGAGCCACCAGGAAGTCTGGTTTGCTTCGTTTTGTTCCTATGGTCCTGGGCCTTATGCAAGATAGGCAAAGGCTCTACCACTGCATTATATCTCCATCCCCTAATCTCTCTGCTCTGAAAGAGGGAATGGTGGCATCAAATTCTTGTTAAACCATTAACAAGGTTCCAGGCACTCCATATCAGGAGTTGCAATTAAATGGGAAGCATACAAAAAAACCCCACAAAATTGTTTTAAATGAGAAGCTTTAGTGTTAAATAAAAAAAATTACATTATCACTTTTTCATTTTTTTGTCTTTTTGAAGCAGGGTCTCCCTGTAGCCCCAGCTGTCCTGGAAATGTAGACCAGGCTGGCCTTGAACTCACAGATATCCGCCTGCCTCTGCCTCCCGAGTGCCGAGACCACAGGTGTGCACCACCACACTCGGCTCATTATCACTTTTAAGTTTAGCAAATATCCAGAAGTCAGCTACCAAATTCCCATTTATAATAAACAAAAAGCTGCTCAAGTTGGGCATGGTGACACAGGCCTTTAATAATCTTGGGAGGTAGAGGCAGTCAGATCTCTGTGAGTTCAAGGCCAGCCTGGTCTACAAAGTGAGCTCCAGGCCAGCTGAGGCTACAGGGAGACTCTGTCTCAAAAAGACAAAAACAAACGAACAAACCCGAAAAGCTACTCAGTCCTTTTATTAAACTGGAGATGGTGGCATGTACTTAATCTCAGTGCTTGGAAGGCAGGGACAGATGGATTCCTGGGATTTGCTAGCCAACCTACAAACTCCAGGCCAGTCAGAGACCTTGTCTCAAAAAACAAGGCTGGAAGTGGTGGCACACACCTTTATTTCTAGTACTCTGGAAACAGAGGCAGGAGGATCTGTGTGAGATTAAGGCCAGCCTGGTTTATAAAGTAAGTTCCAGGATAGTCAAGGCTATACAGTAAGAACCTGTCTCAAAAAAACAAAAACAAAACAAAACAAATAGCCAAACCACTCCAACCCCCCCCACCCTACAATAACAAAAACCCCAAAACAAAGTAGAATATACCTGAGGAGCAAGACCTGAGATTGACCCTTGCTTCACACATATACCCCATACTTCTGTATCTACACACATATGAACATGAACATACACAACTGTACATACACAGAAAAAAAAGTCCTTTTTACAAAGTACTTCTCTTTTACCTATCCTTTTATAGAGCAGAGTCTGATTTCTAGAATATTCTATCCTCTGAGTACCCTTGTCTCCTACCAGATGTGCTCTTGCAACCCCAAGGGATCCAATATAATCTTCTTATTCACAGACCCCCACCCCCATCCCCACTGCCAACATCGCCTCAGCCCTGGATGAGCCTTGCCATAAGCTGTGTGTGGCTTACTGCCCTCATTATCCCTTGCTTATCTACCCTTGCTCTAGCCTCTGACCTCAATAAGTGATTGTCTCTATATGATGGTGGATTTACACTGCCTCAGCAGTTTAAAGGTGTGTCTATGTGAACACTATAAGGACAGGGACTGGACCTTGCCGACCTTGCTGTCAGTTACTGGGGTCAGGGAGATGGCTTAGTTGGTAAATGTGTCATGTAGGCATGGCCTGGGTTTAGACACCCAGCACCCATTGAAAAGCTAGATACAGCAACATGTGTCTATAACCCCAGCACTGGTGAAATGGAGATAGGATCCTGGAGCTCACTGGCCAGCCAATCTAGCCAAATCACTGAGTTCTGAAAAGACACCTGATATTGATCTCTGACTTTCATATGCACAGACACAATGAATGCGTGCACACACACAAACACACAATACTGTTGGTCACATGTAGCGGAGCACCTGGCACACAGTAGGTGTCTAGGATAGTACCCAACATAAAAGAAGCCTTGAAGTGCTCAAACTAACAACTCACGCCAGCACAGTCTCCTCCTTGCTGAGACGAGTGGTGAGGGCACCAAGGGCTTCCTGGGATGCCAGGGGAAGGCCAAAGCCACTGAGCGCTGCAACTGCATGGTAGATCTGGGCGACAGAGGAGTCTTCAGTGACTGCAGCCAGAAGCAGATCTTTGGTATCATTTGAAACAGATATCTAGGCAAGGATTGGCAGGCAGAGGTTAGAACAAGTTCTAGCAATCTGTGGCAGGCCTGCTGACAAACGCAGCTGCCAAAACCATGCCCACTCAGCACCTGCCCCTCCTCCTTAGTCCCAAAAGATGCTGACAAGGCTGTTTATTTACTTAAAGTGTTCCCTTATGTTAAATAGAATGGTCTAGACATCTGAGGTAGGGGTGTGTTGAATGTTTTTAAATGTTAGAGGATGGAAAGCAAAACTCAAGACTTCCTAGAAAAAAAGTTAAGAATGATAACAAATGTGGTATAAAACCCATTACAATGAAAATTTAAAGGAAAAGTATACTGTCTTAAAGTAAAATAACCACAGCAAAACAAAATATGCAAATGGAATTTCCACCTACATCACCTCACCAATGGTTTCTCACTGCTGAAAATTATATAATTGACTATGCTGTCCACCTTTACTGAGCCAGGTGTGGTGGTACACGCCTTTACTCCAAGCACTCAGAAGGCAGAGGCAGGTGGATCTCTGTGAGTCGGAGGCTAGCTTGGTCTACATAGCAAGTTCCAGGCCAGCTGGGACTACAGGAAGACCCTGTCTCAAAACAAACAAACAAACAAAAACCACATTACAAAAATCCCAAGGGGGTGGGGAGAAACACTTTACTGTTTAAAGAAAAAAAAAAAAAAAAAAAAAAAAGGCAGTGTAGGAACTTGGACTCACCTCACACCCTGAGAGGACCTGGCTGGACTGGGCAGCAAAGAAGAGGGAATCCACGTTGTTGGGATCAAGGTTAGACTTGATGAAGGTACATGCTTTCTAAACAAGGAAGAAAGTCAAAGATAAGTGGTGACATATACAGTAACTAGGACAGAAGAAAGTGTGTGGGGTGATAAGTAAAATTCTAAGCTATCTATAAGGCTTGAAGTATGAGTTATTCTAGGTTTAATTTTTAACTATTTTCCATAGGAGACTATTTCCCCAAATTGCTGACTTTACACTAAAAACAGCAGGCTTGAGGATGGTGGAAACCACTTAACAAATGCCCAGCTCTGGCCATGACCTGTACTGGGTGTCACGATGAGCATAAAGCCCTTCATAGGCACCATCATCATCTCTTTTAGCAGAAAAACATCACTGGAACCTGAGCAGAGAAGTAGCCGCCAAAGGTTACAAAGCTAGTCAGTGTCCTCTGACACCACTTGTCCTGGAGTTTCCAATGACATGTTTCCAAAACCAAGTCAGACTCAATAAATCCAAAGCACCCTTAAAGTCTTCTCTTTATTAACCTGGACTTCCTGCCTCAGGCACAAGCATTACCAGGCATTCACCATCCAAACAAGATCCTGGGGAATTATTTTTGCACTCTTCCCTCCGAGGCTACCTACTCTACCTCCTTTTTATTTTTCTACCCCATACCACCGCTGGCTTGTGCTGCCTTAGGTTAGGTCCTTGCCATCTCTCGCCTCAATCCTTACAATCCTCTTTTAAGTGCCTCAAGGTACTTGATCTATTCTGCATACTGCAAGACTTAACTTCATGAAACACAAATGTACCCATGTTGCTTTAGGAATAAAGCCCTTCTGTGATTCCCCACTACTTCTAGACAAGATCCAAAGTTGCCAACATAGTACACATGCCTTCACTGCACCACCCAACCCCCGCCCTCTGCAGCAGCTTTACCACCACAGCTACCTCTAACCCCAGAATCTAACTCTCCAGCCTCCTGCACTTTCCAAGTGTACCATTCTCCTGTCCTTGGATATTTCTGTCCTGCACCCTTCCCTTGTTCCCTTCTATCAAACTAGGTCCTCCCTTTACCTCTATCTATCCCATACAGCCTTTGTTGATGCTCAATCTATGACAGGCCACCCTTCTTCCCCCATGCTTCCCAAAGCACTTGCCACTGGTACTCACTACTTCCCTCAGTGCTGGCTACCTCAGAGTACTGTGCATACCACAATGAGTGACACAAAACAAAATCCTAGTCACTTCCACTCCACTGAAATCCAAGGGAGATTTAAGTTATACTGCTAAACATTTTTCAGTAAAATACAGCTATTCAAAGTTGTATGGCCAATTCAGTGAAAAGTGGGTGCTTCTGGGATTGGGCGGTGTAGTTCACTAGTAGAATACTTGCCTAGCATGTGCAAGGTCTGGAAATTTGATGTCTAGAACTGTGAAAAAGAAAAAGTAAGTACTTCTAGGAAATATGAGCAGTATGGGCTGAGCCAGTAACTGCTCTTTCCTTCCCCTCACCACTGTTCTATATTATGTTATATACCAAAATGTTATGAACAAAATTTCAAGAGTCTCAAATGAGTTTCCACTTGAATGCAACTGAAAGAAGCAGGGTTGTGGGGGGGTGGAGAAAGGAAAGAAATAAAATAATTCACCTTGTGCAGGGCGCGGTAGCGCATGCCTTTAATCCCAGCACTAGGGAGGCAGAGGCAGGCGGATCTCTGTGAGTTCAAGGCCAGCCTGGTCTACATAGTGAGTTCCAGGAGAGCTGGGGCTACAAGGAGACCTTGTCTCAAAAAGACCAAAAAAAACAAAAACAAAAACAAATCTGCCTTGCATAAACTGGGACCTGAAGAAGAAAACCAATTAATTCAGACAAGGAATCCTTTAAGAAGAAAAATTCAGACAAGGAATCCTTTCCATAGAACACAGGGAAGCTGAAGAAGTGCTTTGTCGCCCTCTGGTGCTTTAACAATGGAAAGACAGTACCAGGACCCCAACGATCTCTAGCTCAGCACTCAGCACTGTACACACAGTGTTAGTGCTTCATGTGTCTCCTTTAGTCCTCAAAGAGTCCTACGCTGTAGGAACTTCTGTCTTAAGTTTACTGAGAAGAAAACTGAGGCATCAAACAAGCAAAGCAGTTTAGCCAAGGCCACTCAGCTCTTAACTGGGAGAACTTACCTTCAAATCCAGGCATCCTGGCTCAAGTCTGAACTTTACAACCCCTATCTCAAGAGGCTACTAAATAATCTATTCTGGAGTACATCCAGCACCAGACCTGTTCTGATGCTTTCCAAGGACAACTCAAAGTAAACACCCAATGGCTTCAAAGCCCATGGGGTTGACATCAGTTTCATCAACAGCAGAAATGGAGTAACCTCACAAAACCTGCTCAGGAGCAACCCTCCCCCATCGGGAGGCCCTTCTAGGATATACAGCTCTCACTGCAGTCCCAGACACCTTACCAACTGGACACTGAGTACCAATTCCCACGTGTCTGCTACCTGCTCTCTACAGCTCCGTCTTGTGTTAAAACTCCAAGGATCTCAACACCCTCATGAGCAAAGAATCCTTGTGCTTTCCTCTACCCTCCTTCCCTCCAGCTACCTGAACCTAATCAGGTACTATGTCCTATAGGAAAGATAACATATGATTCTCTCTGGCCCACCCTTTCCCTCACTTCCTCTAGCATCAGCTCCTAGCCCCTTTTTTGTGTCCCCCAAGACTGTGTAACCAGACCCTCTGCCACTGAGCCGTTTCCATGCATGCTGCCGTCCACACTTCCAAACACTCCTGCTCTAGCTGCCCAAGATACTAACACCCAGTCAACACTCCAAGCAGTAGTAAGCCCCAGGCTTTGTATCGGCCACTCTATTATCCCATCAGCTCAATTTCTCCCTTTCAAATGATGTAACTCATAATGTATTCTTAAAGTTAAAGACTTACTTAAAACAAAACTTCCCTTCATCCTTGTCTCTCTACCTGCCGCTGGCTTTTCTCTTCCCACACGTCCCACTTCTCCAGGGAGGTACTTAGGTTTTCATTTTTCACCTCTGCTCTCTACAGCCTGGTTTCTGTCCCATCATGACACTGGTAACCTCCAAATTTTCAAAGCCAAGGCTACTTTCCAGTACCCGCCTCCCTCAACACTGGACAGACCCATCACTTCCTCATTCTGAAACATTACTTCCTGAAGTCCACTCCACTTCACTGGTTCTCTCTCTTTTCCTCTTTCCACAGTGCTGGGGATTGAACTTGTAGATACTAAACAAACACTCCACAACTTAGCTACGTACCCTCACAGTCTGCTGATTCTCCTCCAAAGTTCCAAGCTCTTCTGCTTGCCCACCTAATACTAGAATACTCCAACTCCCAGGCCCACTTCTTTTCCCACTTTCTGTCTGCCTAGGAAACAGTGGGCTCATATCCACAGCCTCCTTCAGAGCCTCTATTTTAGCTACCTACCCTCAGTCTGCTGATTCTCCTCCAAAGTTCCAAGCTCTTCTGCTTGCCCACCTAATACTAGAATACTCCAACTCCCAGGCCCACTTCTTTTCCCACTTTCTGTCTGCCTAGGAAACAGTGGGCTCATATCCACAGCCTCCTTCAGAGCCTCTATACAGATAATTCTTAGATTTATATCTGTAGCCCGGACAACACACTAACCTTTAACACAAGTTAAAGACACTTGAGCTCAACATAAAACTAAATTCAATTTCCTGTCCAAACCGAAATTTCTTTCAGCGTTCCAATTAAAATTTTTTTTATCTATTTCTATTTTATGTGTGTGAATGTTTTGCCTGCATGTATGTAAGTGTACTACATGCGTGCAATATCCACGAAGACAGGTGTTAGATCCCCCTCGGACTGCAGTTACAGACAGTTGTTAGCTGCCATGTGGGTACTAGGAACTGAACCTGGGGCCTCTGCAAAAGCAGCCAACGCTCTTAACCGCTGAGCCGCCTCTCCAGCCCCATAGTGTTCCAGTTTCATGGAATGGCCGACCTACCAGTCCGAGCAGAAAAGGCTGAAAGTCTAGGTGTTCTCCTTTTGTAGTCAATCTTCTCTCCACAAAGTAGGAGAGAAATCTTTCCAAAATACAAACTGGATCATGATACTCTTTAAAACCAACTGCTTGTTGACAAAGATAAAATCCTTCCTGTGGCAGCCAAAGTCATGTGGTTTGGCCCCTGGCCTCATCCTTTTCTCCAAATTCTGACACACAGCCTCCTTCCATTCTCTCAAACCTAACACAGGTCCTTTGCTCAGACTTTTCCTCTGCTTGACAGTCCCATATCCTGCCTCCCAGTTAACTCCTACATCCCCTTTAGGATTCAGATTAATCATACCCCTTCAAGTGATAAGCAGCTACAGAGTGCCTGCCATGTACCCTGCACTGGGGATTAAGTTCCTGTCCTCATAGAACTGTAACCTAGGGTGATACAGAATGGGATTTAAACTCAGTTATTTCCTGTCGAGATCACAGTCCCTCATTTACACTCATGGAAGTCCTTCATTTATAAGAGCATCTAGTTCACCTTAAAATGTGCCACTGAAACGGTCCTGAATCTATTGGTGCCTCTCTCCACTTTTAGATTACACATTCCAAGATGACAAGGACTGTCTTTTGTGTTCAACATGAAATCATGGCCCAGCAAGGCACCTAGTGCATGGCAGAAATCTACTACATATTTGTTGACTGGCTAAATGAATGGTACAGCCAGCAGTAAGGGGGGACAGTTGGCAATTTTCCTTGCTGGAGGCTGTGGCAGACAGGATGAATGCTGGCTCCCTCTGCTGGACTCCATGGTAATTTCCAGAAACTACACTTGGCCCTTTGTACTTACACTCCTTAACTAAGGTGCTTGTCTCTCCTTAAAGAAAGAGCTCCCAGGGTGATAGCGCATGCCTTTAGCCCCAGCACTTGGGAGGTAGAGGGAGGAGGCTCTCTGTGAGTTCAAGGCTAGCCTGGTCTACATAGCGAGTTCAAGCCAGCTGGGGCTACAGAGAGACCCTGTTTCAAAAAGACAGAAAAATAAAAAATAAAAATAAAAGAGCTCCACTGTATTCTCTGCATCTAGCACAATGCTTGGCACACAGCAGTTGCTCCACAAATGATTAACTGGTTCATTTGCTATTATTCCTAGCAATTCACAGTGCGTAGCCCACAAATACTTTTATATTCACTCATTCTAACTACACCAGACACTATGCTTAGTACTCTGTGCTTAGGATTTCATTTACTCATGCCAACCCTCTGTGAGGTAAGTTTGCACACAGGGAAACTGAGCAACATAAACAACCTCTGAACACTGTCTAGTACTTCCCGACTTCAGGTATTTGACTAATTATCATCACATTTTTTACCACACAATGCATTTCATTCACTAATATTTTCATTAAAATGAATACAATTTCTTAGTTCTTAACCTTGAGAAAAGTTAAATGATATCAACACAATCACCATTTTGATAAGCTTATATTTTATGTATTTATACATACTATCAAAATGAAAGATGTTCTTTCTGTAATCAACTCTCATTCTGCACTCCTACTACCAGAGCTGCTTTCTATTCTCATATGAGCAGTAAACTCCAATTTTTTTTTCCAGTTTTTCTGTTAAAATTTGTGACAGAAACAAAACAAAACAAAACCCACACACATACACCTCTAAAATGTCCCTGTGTCAATCAGATTTCCACTGCATGACAAAATACCCCAAGTAATTAACTTAAAGGAAGAAAGATTTATTATGGCTCAGAGTTTTGGTGGTTTCAGCCTATGCTCAGCAGGCTCCACTGCTGTGAGCCTAAGGCAGGAGCACATGAGAGAGGAGGCTGCTTACCTCATGGCAGCCAGGAAGCACACGGAGCAAGAAGAGAGGGCCAGTGACAAGATATGCCCTTCCAAGGCATAGACAATGACCCTCCTCCTAGGCCCCACCTCCTAAATGTTTCTACCATCTTTCCACAGTACCATCACATGGGAACAATGCCTTCAACACTTCAGCTTGTGGGGAACATTTCAGGTTCAAAGCACAGTATTCACTGCTAAGAAATTTAGTACTTAGTCCTAGTAAAAGGAGTTAATACCATGCATACTTACATGCTATCACCATGCCCTTTACACATCACCTCTTGTTATTGTCATCTTACAGATGAAAAAAAAAAACAAAAACACCTGAAAGGTTCTAAGTAAGGTGTACAAGTTACTCAGCTGAAGTTTTGAAGTAAACATTTTTTTTAGATAGGGTTTTACTATGTAGCTCTAGCTGGCCTAGAACTTGCCATGTAGACTAGACTGGCCCTGAGCTCATAAAGGTCCACCTGCCTCTGCCTCCAAATGTTGGTATAAAAGGTATGAGTCACCATGCCCAGCCTTGAAAAGTCGACATTTTTTTTTTAATTAAAAAATTTATTTTTTTACCTGGGCGTGGTGGTGCACGTCTTTAATCCCAGCACTTGGGAGGCAGAGGCA